AAAAATAACAACACTTTGTCAGGACCATGAGGCGATCATTCCTACCAACTTTCAGTTCAATCGGTCCAGCAGAACTTGACTTTAAGTTTGAAATAGGTTTTCAAAATGGCGGCCGTGGCGGCCATATTGGATTTCTGATCGACCCGAAAAATAACAACACTTTGTCAGGACCATGAGGCGATCATTCCTACCAACTTTCAGTTCAATCGGCCCAGCAGAACTTGACTTTAAGTTTGAAAGGTAAAATGTTAACGGACGACGGACGACGACGGACGAAAACGGATAGCAATAGGTCACTTGAGCTAAAGCTCAGGTGACCTAAAAATTGCCCTCATCACGTTTTTGCCATGTAAAATGAAAAATAAATTACCGCCCTGCCGCATCTATTTTGAAAAAGATTGGCCTGAGAACCAAGTAATTAATTTTATTTGGCCTTATTACTATACATTGTATGTGGTACACTCATATTTGTTGTCATGATAAATCACACTCATTGGGGAGAGCGAAAATTAAACTGCGGCAAAAATGTTCCTCGTGTACAGTAACATATGAACTCAATATTTAACAACAGAAAAGGAACAGATTTTGGCTTAAGTCTCACCTGTTTGATGTGTTCACGTCCCGTCCAGGTAAAACTACAGGTATCGTTACAACACAACACCTGTAGTGGGGAGTTATCCAGACTCGATCCCGTCGGATAGATCATACTCATCAACGACGGCTTGTCAGGTTCACTGGAGTCACCGCTCGCAATCTTCTTAGCACATTCAAACAAAGTAATGGCTCCTGCATAGGCACATCCTTTCACAGCTTGCATGAATGGTGTACAGCCCTCAGCGTTCCTGTCATACAAAAGAAATTTTGTTTTAAATAGATATTTGGGGTGAAACAAATGTCCAGTTTTCTGGATAAATAGATCATGAACAGGCATACACAAAAGTGAATCAGTACCTGAAATTGAATCAAGCTATGCAGAACTTTCAGAACTAATTTCCATAAGAAATTTACCTTGTAACTCCCACTCTGGAATTATTTTCAGCTAAGTAAATTTCCAGCTTACAAGGCATCTCTTATACACGAAGTCCTAGATATGTCCCATTTATGCTCAGTTATGTCCACCAGAAATACACAATTATAACACAAACCAAAGGAAAGATGGTTACAGTACCTAGATATAAAGTTACAAATACAAGGCAGTGGACTTACCTAGAAGGTAGGATATAGATGCAAGGTTTTATTCAGACTTATCACAAGGAGTCAATCTACCCTAGCCATCATCTGTATTAAACAACCATCTGTTTTATGCGACCACTTTTCATTCCCCTCGAACAGTTTTATTACGTAATTTAACTATTATTTTCCTTGGCAGGTCGCTTAATACAGATTCCACTGAATATGGATACAAGGCTGTATACTGGCCTAGAGGTGAAATGGTTGTGTACACAAGGCTACATACATACCTTGTGCAGAAAGGGTTTTGAATAAGAGGCAGGCAGTACAGCCGTTCCTAGTAAATGATTGTTACAGATATGAAGCTGCAAACTTACCTAGCAGAGAGGAGGTCACGAAGATGAGGCTGAAGAGATGGTGAATCACACAGCAAGCGCAGCATCTGTACTGCGATGGTCCGGCGCTCTTTCTCTTCCAGCTTCACCGGTGCCATGGAGATGGTGCTCACCTCAGGGTACAGTGACTCGTAGCTCGGGGGAGGGTCAGGGTTCCAGGAGATGGTGGGTGTGGCTACGGTGGCTTCCTCCCTTTCCTCTCTTTCCCGCGCCTCCATACCACTCACTGCTCGAGCAGCAGAAGAGGCTCGGCGCATCATCTCGCGCAGGGTCACGCTGTCAAGGATATAAAAGAGGCAAGCATATACAGTAAATACTCAATACTCCTTTCAATTATTGCAATTCCCTTCATTTTCATAAATATTTTGTATTTATAGTTGTGAAATGGCCTTTGTTGAGGAAGTGAGTTATGAAATGCATAATGACATATCTCAATAAAAATTCCTAGATTGAATAATCGATCGACTCTCTTTACAATGAAATGAGAAAAAAATATCTACAATCTTTCAACATGGATATAAAAAGGATTTTTAAATTTCAATCCCGACAGCATTTCTCCTGCAATGGTCTGTTTGAGGAAATATTAATTATTTAAATAGAAGTGGATTCCATGCATCTTTGAACTTGCTCTGCGTACTGCCATTATTGAATCTTATGTCCAAAACTCATTCCCTGCCTAAACAAGATTTAAATTACTTTTCCTTTCCATTTCCCTCTTTCCGCTTTCAGTAATCAAAGATTGATACTGAGAGACCTTACCTGCGGGAGCTTGGGTCGGTGGTGGATCGGGACTGTATTGCAGCGAGTGCATCTACAGCACTGCTAACGGCATTGATGGCCTCCAATGCAGACGTGAAGGCACTAGTCGTGGTTGTAGTGGGCGTAGTGGTGGTTGTTGTTCCTGCTGCAGCTGCATCTAGTGACAACAGACAAGTTATTACGTACCATGTTATACTATTTCATCCATCTAACGATTCGAAATTCTAGAATGAATTAATAGGTCTTGACAAATAAGGTTCTCTTACTTATCTACGGTGTAACATGAAACTGCAGATACTTTTAATCAGCAATTCTTTTTACATCATAACTGACTTATGTTTGTACATAGCTGCCCACTGTGAAAGTTTGCATAAGTGAACCCGTGTGTAAATGTAAACCCCTGTTTCATCTTTAATGAAATTATAATACTCTTATACAAAACCCATGAACCCTTTCTTCTGATGTCGCACTATGTCTGTGAAGCCGACTGTAACTCACCATTGTCGTAGTCCTTGTTTGAGGTAGGCACACACATGGCCACACATGTGTGCATTATGTTCCTGTTACCGTCACAGTGTTCCCTCAGAATATCCTGTAACAACTTCTGACTAGACGCTGTTCCTGAAACACCCAACAATAACATCAAACCTTGTACAAAACTTTTAAACTCTAACGCTTATAATAATGTGAATCTTCTAAATTTGAGAATCTGTCTTCTTGACAACCTCAGTAAGTGTTTTTCTACAACCTGGACATCCTATGTCAGTGTTTTTCTACAAACTGGACATCATAGGTCAGTCTTCTGGACAAACTGGACAACCTAGGTCAGTCTTCTGGACAAACTTGAAAACCTAGGTCAGACGTCTGGACAAACTGGACAACCTAGGTCAGTCTTCTGGACAACCTAGGTCAGTGTTTTTTCTACAAACTGGACAAACCTAGGTCAGTCTTCTGGACAAACTGGACAACCTAGGTCAGTCTTCTGGACAAACTGGACATCCTAGGTCAGTCTTCTGGATAACCTTGGTCAGTCTTCCAGACAAACCGGACAACCTAGGTCAGTCTTGTGTAGCTGACTACTGTACATTACATACAGTTTGAGAGATATGACCGTCAAAAAAACACTTTCATCTGTTTTTTTGAATTCTGAATGACAAGTTCTTAAATCATCATCGGATAAATCCGAAAATGTCTTCTACAACTTTTTAGAATATTTTCCACAATGGTTTTCAATGTTCTGACTCACCTGGTTCCTTCTCTAATGATGCAAGGATAGATTTGACCTTATCAAGGTTACAGCGGAGAATGTGAGGGATCAGTACTTGAAGCTGTGGTCAACAAAAAGAGAATCAATGTCACAACTTTTCTGAACAAGACTTACTCAAGGCCTCAATCAGACAATAATTTTTCAATTAATGTTTTGTAAGAAGTTTAATCTCATATCATTTTTATTTCTAACGCAGAGATATGGACATAAACCAAATCAGGAGGCCCTCAGGACCTGTATCACTACAATGTTATTAAATGGTGTTGTCAAAATATACTTTTAAGCTTGACTGTTCAATCAAGAGGAATACTGAATATTTTCATTTTTTCAACTATCTTGAATTTGAAAAGTATAACTGCCATGTAAGCTATACATACCAACTATCATTATTCAAGGCATGATAGTTCTTTTTAAGCTTTGACCCCATGACCTTGTACCTGGGTCTAGGTTACTTAATGGACAATCTTTAACCTCAGTAAGATACATGCCTAATAACATAATCTGCCTTATTGTTTACTTATATATAAACCATTCTCTAGGTAATAATTGTAGAATTAAAGACAGGTTATCTTTGAAATTATGATTCATGCAAAATACATGTTGATTCATGCAAAATACATGTTGATTCATGCAAAATACATGTTTCAAGTACTATAGATTTCCTAAACAGGTTTTAAACAACTCTTGTCATCAGATTACTAAAGAAAAAAGGTCATAGGTCACTGGTTAAAAGTTGAAAAAAAAAAAAATCCCCACCCTTTCCCATCCCTGTCCGGCTAGGATGATGCCCCTGGATCATATCTGGGACCCAGGAGATGCTATCCCGGCCCCCTGGTCTATGTCCGGCCTTACAATGAGCATGCAGTCTCAGACACACTCATCAAGATTACAGACAATGATAAAAATACTCTGGTTTGTCTCCAGTTGACCTCATAACGCACATCATCATCACTTGACAAAGAGTTGTATAATTACAAAAACATCTTTCTATTCACCCTTTACTAAACAAACTCCATCTTTCTAGTCTGGTCTGATATCAATAGGACAGTTTTAGAAATTCATGATGCAGTAGGGTGGCAGAGAGGGACTTATATACAAGAGGCCCAAATGGGCCTGCATCGCTCACCTGTTATTAATCTAACACTTGTAATCTTAAGATTTCATAAGAACCTATTAAAAGATTTAAACATATGACGCCTCTGACCATGTTGTCGAACAAGGACATTAGGTTGAAAGTGGATCAAGGTCATTCATTTGAACTAAAATGGTAGTCCTTCCTCCCAGCATGCTACAGGCTGAATTTCAGTACCCTTGGCCTTTTGGTTATTGAGAAGAAGACGTTTGAAGATTTTACGACATAAGACCCCTGTGACCTTGAAAGTTGGTCAAGGTCATTCATTTGAACAAACTTGGTAGTCCTTCCTCCCAGCATGCTACAGGCTGAATTTCAGTACCCTGGCCCTTTTGGTTATTGAGAAGAAGTTGTTTGAAGATTTTACGACATTTGACCACTGTGACCTTGAAAATTGGTCAAGGTCATTCATTTTAACAAACTTGGTAGCCCTTCATCCCAGCATGCTACAGGCCTTAAATCAGTACCCTTGGCCTATAGGTTATTGAGGAGAAGTTGTTTGAAGATTTTAAAGACATCGGACACCAGTGACCTTGAAAGTGGGTCAAGGTCATTTGTTTGAACAAACTTGGTAGCCCTTAATCCCAGCATGCTACAGGCCCTATATCAGTACCCTGGGCCTTTTGGTTATTGAGTAGAAGTTGTTTGAAGATTTTAAAGACATCTGGCACCAGTGACCTTGAAAGTAGGTCAAGGTCATTCATTTGAACAAACTTGGTCGCCCTTCATCCCAGCATAGTACAGGCCCAATATCGGTACCCCGGGCCTTTTGGTTATTGAGAAGAAGTTGTGTTGAAGATTTTAAAGACATCTGACACCAGTGACCTTGAAAGTGGGTCAAGGTCATTCATTTTAACAAACTTGGAAGCCCTTCATCCCAGCATGTTACAGGCCCAATAGCAGTACCCCGGGCCTTTTGGTTATTGAGAAGAAGTTGTTTGAAGATTTAAAAGACATCTGACACCAGTGACCTTGCAAGTGGGTCAAGGTCATTCATTTGAACAAACTTGGTAGCCCTTCATCCAAGTATGCTACAGGCCCAATCTCAGTACCCTGGGCCATTTGGTTATCGAGAAGAAGTTGTTTGAAGATTTATTAGACATCTGACCCCAGTGACCTTGAAAGTGGGTCAAGGGCGTTTATTTGAACAAACTTTGTAGCCCTTCATCCCAGCATAGTACAGGCCCAATATCGGTACCCCGGGCCTTTTGGTTATTGAGTAGAAGTTGTTTGAAGATTTATTAGACATCTGACCCCAGTGACCTTGAAACTGGATCAAGGTCATTTATTTGAACAAACTTGGTAGCCCTTCATCCAAGTATGCTACAGGCCCAATATCAGTACCCTGGGCCATTTGGTTATTGAGAAGAAGTTGTTTGAAGATTTTAAAGACATCTGACACCAGTGACCTTGAAAGTGGGTCAAGGTCATTCATTTGAACAAACTTGGTAGCCCTTCATCCCAGCATGCTACAGGCCTAATATCAGTACCCTGGGCCTTTTGGTTATTGAGAAGAAGTTGTTTGAAGTAAAAAAGTTGACGCCGGACAGGCGGACGCCGGATGGACGGACGGACGGACGACGGACTCCGCACCATAACATAAGCTCACTTGCCCTTCGGGCAGGTGAGCTAATAAACCATTCTCTAGGTAATAATTGTAGAATTAAAGACAGGTTATCTTTGAAATTATGATTCATGCAAAATACATGTTTCAAGTACTATAGATTTCCTAAACAGGTTTTAAACAACTCTTGTCATCAGATTACTAAAGGAAAAGGTCATAGGTCACTGGTTAAAAGTTGAAAAAAAAAAAAATCCCCACCCTTTCCCATCCCTGTCCGGCTAGGATGATGCCCCTGGCTCATATCTGGGCCCCAGGAGAAGCTATCCCGGCCCCCTGGTATATGTCCGGCCTTACAATGAGCATGCAGTCTCAGACACACTCATCAAGATTACAGACAATGATAAAAATACTCTGGTTTGTCTCCAGTTGACCTCATAACGCACATCATCATCACTTGACAAAGAGTTGTACAATTACAAAAACATCTTTCTATTCACCCTTTACTAAACAAACTCCATCTTTCTAGTCTGGTCTGATATCAATAGGACAGTTTTAGAAATAGACGGATTCATGATGCAGTAGGGTGGCAGAGAGGGACTTTTTTGTAACCCCCCCCCCTTATCTAAACAGCACCAGTACAGAAGACATATTTGTCCATGTCTCTTCTTACGTATGTTACAATCTAATTATCGCACCTCGACTGCCAGTACCAGTACAGCGGCCTTGTTCTTCATGTTGGGGATCATGTTGTTTAACGACTGTACCCTCATCCCGAGACACCTGACCGGGGGCAGGTTCAGCCAGAGGGGGTCACGTATTCCCTCTGTACAGTCCTTGGCCAGAGGGTAGATAGCTCCATTACCATCCTGTAGCTGAACCAGCAGTTCCTGTAAAAACACATACTGTTTATATTGGGAAAGTTTAGTTTGGTTTAATTTCGTCTAGCGTCCTCTTAACAGATAAGGTTATTTAAGGACGTGTCTCCATGTGTGTAGTGTATACGTGCTTGCGTGAGTGTATGCAGGAGACAGAGTATGTTGGTGTGCTTGCCTCCTAGTTATGGGTAACATTTGCTACAGGTGATATTAATCTTATATTAATCCTATTGTTCCAAATGGTACACAAAATTTACACTTCCCTGTCAAAGTCTTCCTTAAACTTTTTTCCATTATGCAACTAATTTGAAAGGGAATTTGGTTTAAATCACAATAGAACTTATCTCGCATAAAATTACAGCTCTAAATTGGATTCACACCATCAATTTTGTTTTACTCATTAAAATACTGTGTATAAATGATCGTTAAATTCAGCGATTCTTATCGGCGAGTAGTAAACTACCACTAAAGGTTGAAACAAATAATTATACTCGTTCCAAACACTTTTGTGACATATGAAACACTATGTCACATAATGCTACATTATGCCGAAAGTTTTTCAAAGGTTCCCAGATTTTACGAATCAATTTTCCCATCAATAATCTCCTTTTTTTTATCAATAATTATTATTTTTTATTTGCAATGAATGCTTTTGTTATTTTCAATCATCAGCCTATCACTAACTAGAATACACCAATACTTACGTCCCCTGTGTTGTGTAGCGTTATGTCGCTACGGTGACTCCCCATGAAGGCCTGAGCATCTGTTGGGAAGACAGAGTCTTGTTCCACCTTGCCAGTTGTGAGGTTATACACAAGGTAACTTAGCCGCGCCCCCAATCGACAGATGACATGGATGCCATCACAATCTACGGCCACTGCTAGGATCTGACCATTCTCCGAGATTGTCACTTTCTTGGGTGTCTTCTGGAAACAATCTGGCAGACGTGGGGCGCTTGCACTCTTCACAACCTGGCACATGATACATGTTTATTATTATTTCACCCTATCAAAATAAGAAGCAAAACATTCTGTATTCCTAGACTTTAATTAACATAAACATACCATGTTTAGAAAGTTCTTTTTGCAAACAGGCCATTTAGAATCTAAGAACATATATTAAATCATCAACCTATGATTTGATGCATGTCGTTGAGTCAGAAAGAGTCAATCGAAATAAAAAGAAATAAAATTTCTAAGAAGCCCACAGTGCTATGAAAGACTCATTAAAGAGGAGTTAACTCAAACATTTAATTGTCAGCAGCTGGCTATGGAGTAAATAGTGATTAAACATACAGTATAACATCATATGTTCGTTGTGTATAAACATTTGTGTTTTTTGTGGTTGCTATAGAACCCCGGAAATAAATGCAACGAATTTGAATGATATACGTGTCTACTGTTTGTTAATATAGGATATCCCAAAGTTGGTACCATGAAACGATCTACATGGCTTCAAACCACAAAGGAAAGTGTCCACGAACATTTAGCGTTATACAGTATGCTACCTTATAGCACCTAGTTCATATCAGTCAACCATCACTCTGGTACGATGAATTAATGATTAACCAAGACATTTAACCAGATAAGCCTAGAATGATGAATTAATGATTGAACAAGACATATAAAAAGATAAGCCTAAAGATTGTACACACCTGGAGGTCATCCTTCCTGAGAAGTCGACAGTCCTGTAACAGACTGGTCAAATCTTCCTTACTTCCCCCAGCTTCTGGATTGTCCTTCAGCTGAAACCGTACCGCTGCATACGCCCCATCAACCTTAAATAACAAAACAAAGCTACAGAGACGAGCACAGTCACAGCTTATATATATCGAAGAAAACCAAACTTATTACCTTGCCAATAAGATACTTTAGATACCTCTCTAAATCACAGTTAACTTGTTTTTACACAGTATTTGCTGCTTTTCATTTTCAAAGATTAGTGGTAAAGCAAATCTTCTATGATCAAACCTGTGTATAATCATTGATAAATATACTGTTAACAGAATGGCCGCCTTTCTAGATGTGGGCTGCATTTACAGACAGTTGTCTACATGGACAGGTGACCTTTAAAAGACTAAAGGTCTTTCTAGACAGGGTGACTTTATGGACAGTAGTCTACATGGACAGGTGACCTTTAAAAGACTAAAGGTCTTTCTAGACAGGGTGACTTTATGGACAGGTGACAAATAAATGGTCCTAATAGAAAGGCAGTCCAAATAGACAGGTTACCTTATAGACAAGTATAAATGATATAATGTATGAATAAAATAAAAGTGGAGTTACTGCCTTCTTATACAGCAATACATAAGTTACATTTGCAGGAAATTTTGTTAAATATAATATGTAACTTTACATCAGCTTTGTAGCCTAATTTCACTTTGTGTAACTCATTTTAAAACCCAATATTTGGACTTGATTACAGCATGTATTATGGAAGTAGTTAATCACCTTCAGTACTTTTCCAACAGGCACAGTTTTCACATCCTCAACAAATATCACATTCTTCAGAGGCCAGCTTTCTTCGTCCTTCTTTTCCACTTCCTTGATGGGTGTAGGCGCTTTCTTTCTTTCTGTAACAGAAACAAAGAATTGAGCCCTATTTTCATTAATACCAGAATATTACTAGCATCAGTCAAGTACTCATCAGTATCTAAATGATATGAATGGATGAGAGTAATTGAGCTTCCACTGCCCAGTACTGAAATGAGACTAGATTAAAGGATTTGACCATCCAATGACCGGTACTTACTGAGTGAGGCTGGACTGACCAGTGTGGGTCCACTGTGGTCACTACAAGTAGAGGAATCTGGAGAAGGAGGGGGTGGCATCTCCATACGACTCTCGCTGACCTTAACCTCTAATTTGACCTCTGGCTTAGGTTCACTGAAAAACACAGAACAGATATTTCCAAAATGAATCAAATAATACTTTTGACACCCTGTGGTCAAATAAGGATGCCAGCATTTATTTAGTAAGAAATCAATAGTTTGAAGATTTTATAGATAGGTTATAATGGAAATCATAAGTGGAGTGACATAACATAGAAAAGTAGTTATATATGAGAAGGTTATGTACAAATGAACATTTATCATATACAAGGCATAATGATACAACCAAATTCAGTTGGCAATCATATAGGCTATGAATGCCATGGACCGATTGTTGACGTCATAATTGTTATGTTAATACCACTGACCCTCACTAGGCTTTGGCTGTTCTATCCATGGAACAAGCATACACGGTACATGCATCGTTTGAACTTAATGCTGAATAGTAATAAGTGTAATTGAACTTTTTATGAGATGAACAGATTCCAAAAATGGCCAATATAAGTATTTTACTGCTTTCAGTTGGAATTCATATTGCCTATGAATGCTAACTGAAAGCAATTCAATGCTTAAGAGAACCTCCATATTTTAGCAATATTTTGATTTTAGCGGTTTTTGCACTTTAAATATTGTTCTAAAGTATGACTGCATTAACTGGACTTTCTGTATACAGTTTCCTAATGCATATAGTGTGAGTGCACTTATTCATCAAAGCGCAAATCTTTAAGAATTCTGTAATATGCTAAAATTTGGTTCCGATGAAATAAGCACTTTCACAGTAACTTGACAGACTCAAGTTCATAGGTATCAGCTGACTTCAGAAGTTTGGCATAGACCAATATCTACGAAATAGTTAATCCAGGAAGAAATACAGTAAATAGAGTATACACTAGGGGCCTGTTTGTTTATGCGGAACAACCGCTTTGTCAGTTTTTTAAATGTATAAAAATAAAAGGTTTATGCAGGCCTTGCAAGGCATGGTCAAGGCTCGCCTGAAAGCAGCATCATATTACTAGGTTCAACCTTATTTAATAAGCGAACAACTTTGGTCTAGCAGGTTCAATCGTTTGAATCATGATAAACGAAAACGACCTAGTTCTTCCAAGCTAGTCTGCTGCTTCTGTCCTTCTTACATTGTACCTGACCAAATATTGATCATGGCTGTATTCTCAAGACTGGAACTTACCATGGCGGGGTCTTGATCAGTTTGAATCGACATGTGTCACTCAGTGACCAGGCGGACCCAAGCAACTGACCGACCTTGGGTACTCCATCTATCGTTGCAAACGCCAGCGCTCCAGCGTGGTACATGGGGGAGCTCCGCAGACAAACCTACGAGTAATGTTAGACTGTGTTAATAGGGGTTACATATGTATCAATTCATACTAAAATGAAGGAGGCTGTATATCATACATTAACTTTAAGAAGACCATTTCTTGTAATTTTAGATGAGGCTCCAGGATCTTAGGAATTGTAAATTTTGTTAATTTTTGTGATGAAAATTAAGTCAAAATCTTAATAACATTTTAACATGTAATAACAGTGTGATGGGACAAGCTTGAAATGTTTATAATTCCCTCTTTTAGAAAAGTTTGGAAATAAAACAAAACTATCTGGATCAAATGAAATATTAGGTTTTCCAATTTTACATTAAAACATAGTGTACTATTGTTAATTAATCTTAAGTGTCCATTTTGCACAAAAACCATTTGAAAGTCTTATAGAGTACTACTTTTGAAGTTTTATAAAGCTCATCTCTAAATCAGTTGGCAAGTAGAGTAAATTTGTGATGATCTTGTAAACAAGACAAAGTGCTCCTCAACTAAATATGCAAGCAAGGCTGTGTTTCTGTTAACCCTTTCACCCTTATGTAACTCATGTAGACTCTACCATGCATTGATATGGATGAGTCCATCATGGTCTACAGTGGTGAAAGGATTAATATTCTTTTGCTTCTCACCAGCGTTCCTGTGACAATATCGCTGGTTCCAGAAGATGATGCAGATGCTGGGCCATCTTTAGTCTTCTTTTTCTTGGTCTTTGTTCTCTCGACCAACTTTTTCCTCTGACCAAATGGCATGACACCCCTGTAAGATTGACACAATTGCAACGCTATATAACCACAGCTAATCAAGTGTTGTTCAGTTACAAGTACTGTATAACAAGCGACTGATCGTACATTTTTTCCGTCCATCAACCAATGATCTGACTACATTTTCTTCATAAAATATTTCCAGACTTCTGAGAGAAAAAGACCATAAAAACACACTTAATAATGACTTTTCTATGTATCACTGCTGTGGTTTTTTTTTAAACAACCAGATGTTCAAGAAACGACAAGAGAAAATGACTACTGTGGACAGTACAAAATACACCTGCCAACTTTGTGGGAGTCAGATTTTGTGCATATAAAATTACCAGAATGTTAAAAGAATATAAAGTACAAGAACTTCAATTTCTTCAGGCAGTGTCAGAGGCAACTTATGAGCCAACTACTGGTCATCAATCAGTATTTCTGATAGCCATGACAACTAAAACTGGCACCATTCAGAGCCCTGCACTGCCTTACCAACCCCTACAGAAGTCCGGTGAGAACTCTTACCACCAGTAGAGGGCACCACTTTCCAGTCTGGCACACGTGTAGAGTGAACATGTATGTAGCGAGACAATCTTGTCTGTGGTGAATTCTGGGAACGTCTGAGCAACATGCTCCAGTTTAGATGCAACAGTGTTCAACGTCTCGTCAACCCAGGTGGCGACTTTATCCGACTCGGTGAACACCGATGCACGTACATTACATGCTGACAGACCAACGATCTTCTCATTGACTAAGCACAGAGATACGGCCTTCGGATGTTTCAGACTGGGGTTCTATAAAATCAGAAAAGTTCAGGAATAATAGTACATTACATTAAACATACGAAATACATCACATTCAAATTAAAAATTTGACTTTCAATTGGTAAAGTGTAGTTACTAATCAAAGTTTTAAAACATACATTAAACTTTTGTTTTTCCTATTCCTTTTCTACTTAAATCGAAATATTTGTTTGAGTGGTTTCACGTCCACTTCACTAGAGTAGTTCGGTTATCCACCAGACAATCTTAAATTAAATGTAATTTGTCATTAGATATATATGCTCCTTCACACAGTAGTAGTGTTTCAGGGTATCTTGTACCTTCGCTTGTTGAAACGGGAACTTTATTCCTCAACGCAATACTATACTAGCAGTTTCCTTCAAAGATATAACTAACTTGAACGTATTTCCAAAAAGTCAGTCGTTCAATGTATAGAAGAACAGCATTTTACATTTAATATATAACCTCTTTTTTTTCATTGCTTCATAAATATCAAATCGAAATCAACATTCTTACAGATTCTGATATTTTCAAGAAACCTTACATCAAGATTTTTATATGGCTCAGGGTCATTCCACCTCCAGCTATACAGCTGTCCGTTAGTTCCTACGGCGACCAGCTCAGAATGCATGGCGGCAATGTGGGAGAATTTTGGACTGTTTCCTTCCTGTTGAAGACAGTTGTAAATAATGACATAAGAAACATACGGCAAATGTTATTCGTACCAAATTGTGTATGTATTATTAACTTTTACCATTAAATTCTTTTCTCTCTCCCTCTCTCTCCTTCTCTCTCTCTCTCTCTAAACTTATACTACTGATTTTACTCTTATATAAGTATAGTAGGTTTGATGTACACAACAGATGTATACTATTATTTATGGTTCTAAAGTAAGAGAGTGATGTGTGTATTAACCTGTGTAATGGATAGGTGTCTGAGAGTTTGTTATGGTGTGTTGTGTGGTGGATGGTGTGTGTGTGTGTGTGTGTGTGTGGGTGTGTAAAAGATGAATTATATAGATACAGCTAGGTATGAGGCATATGAGTGTCAATATGTGTAGACAGCTGACCGCATACAAGTCTTATGTGTATGCATGTGTGTTTACATATTGTACATATTCATGTATGTACAATTAAATAGCTACTATCGAACATGTATACAGTGCAGTAACATGTATAAGTGTCCACAATGTAGATATATCAGTGCTCAAATGATCATGTACACATTGTGATATGTGTTGGTGAACAGTGATACATATACTATGCTAGGCTTGGAAGTTTGAATTATTATTCTTAGCGCATATCATCTAGGGGTAGGAGAATGAGGAAATGTTTTAATAAATAAATATGCAGAATATGATGGTTGCAATTACAAAAAAAAAAAAAAATGATGCCGTACAGCAAATATGTAAGGTTTTTCAAAGTAAACTATATTTTCACCAGTGAAATGTGATGTACACAACCCTACACAATACCTTTTCAGTCCAAAACTGGAGCTCCTCCCCCAAAGCCACGGGACTCTGGCCAGTCATTGTCTGCTTCTTCAGATTCTCCGCCTCCATGTTCTCTGCCTTGTCTCGATCTAGTGCCTTCAGGGCCTCGTCACGTAGTGTGGTGTCTAGCCGCCGACGGTCACGGATACGGAATATTGACTCCCTCTCTCGGTCACGGTCTAAATCTCTCTCTCGGTCTCCTACAATATCAAAAGTGATAAGTCATGTTATCCCATATGTATTTTCTTTTAAAAACAAAGGATCTTCATCTCTATCATTCTAAAGGGTGATGTGGGTGCTTTAACCACCTTTTCTATAAAATATTGTTTCATATCTTATTTTTTTCTCCATAAAATATTTTACAGTTATTTTGGTTACCTTGCATCTTTTCAAACATTTTCCAAGGTCTTATTTTTCTTTTTGTTTCAACTTCCTTGTTAACATGTTGCTTAACCTTTATAATGATGAAATAGAGTTAGTTTAAAGAGGTTTTACAGCAAATTAACAAATCATTAACAAACATTTTAAATTGATACAACAAAAAGTCCGTAGATTATAGGATCTTACCTAGCCTAGATCTGGTGCCAGAGCCCCTGGTACGGAGAGTGGAGTAGCCAAACACATCCTCATTATACATGGTGTCGGCATCAATGATCACGCTAGGATGGTCAGCGTGTATCCCCGAGTCGAGGAGTGAGATAAGATCGTCAGGCATGTAAGAGTCTTGGCTATCGTCATCGTCTGCTTCGCCCTCGTCATCACGACTCAGTAGGTTGTTCACTGCCAGATTCACATCCAAATTCTACAACACACAACAGCATTGAGTAACTGATATTCACATCCAAATTCTACAACACACAATAGCATTGAGTAACTGATATTCACATCCAAATTCTACAACACACAATAGCATTGAGTAACTGATATTCACATCCAAATTCTACAACACACAATAGCATTGAGTAACTGATATTCACATCCAAATTCTACAACACACAATAGCATTGAGTAACTGATATTCACATCCAAATTCTACAACACACAATAGCATTGAGTAACTGATATTCACATCCAAATTCTACAACACACAATAGCATTGAGTAACTGATATTCACATCCAAATTCTACAACACACAATAGCATTGAGTAACTGATATTCACATCCAAATTCTACAACACACAATAGCATTGAGTAACTGATATTCACATCCAAATTCTACAACACACAATAGCATTGAGCAACTGATATTCATTAATATAACATCTTAGCCAATTCTGGAGAGATCTTAAAACCAGTTAAACATTGTTTACAACTTTTCTACTCATATTCCATACAAATTGTAATATTTGACATCTTGTTTCCCTCTTTACCATTTGAAATAGTGTAAATACCTAACTTTTCTTGAATAAATTCTTTACTTTCCAAATGAAATTTTAATAGATGACCAGTGAATTTCCAAATCAAATTGCATCTCAACAATTTTTTACATAATGTAAGGTTATATTTCAACATTTTCCCTGTAATTTGATATAAACAGGCTACTGTTTTAAAATCGTAGCTGTAAAATTCTGTTCTGTTAACAATGTACAATTATCATAAATTCTTCAGTGATATTGTTTTATCATAAATCAAAATATATTTTGTTAAAGAACACAGGAAGACACTACAAAAATATAACCCTTTCACCACTGTAGACCATAATGGACTTTACCAGATCAATGCATAGTAGAGGCTACTAAAGTTACTTAGGGATGAAAGGGTTAATTTAAATTGTTAGTTTGGAATATGCTAATATTCAAATATCTAATGTTACAGAAACGCCTAATTTATGCACTTTCATCACTTATTGCTACACAAGATTTTTTAACAAAGTAGCTATCAAAATATTGAATAGTTATGAAATGTATCGTTTTAACACTGTTTACCTCTTTAGCTAACTCAAACAGATTTACAAGGAAGCAAGATTCACAATCACAGAGAAAACTGTTAATAAAATACTCACTGTTCTCTGTAATTCTCTGATTATTAAATTTCTTGACTTTCCTTGTAAGACAACTTGACACTGTACAAGAGAAAGGTATAATAGAAACTAAATACACGGTAAACACTATGCTAGAAATTTAGCAAGGATACTTGAAACACTGCAGAGCATTCCATGTGTCCTTTACGGCCTTATCACAACAAAAATCAAGTCTTAAAAGCAATACATGTCTCGTATCACAAAATATTGTTTTATCTTCATAGCAATAGACCTTATCTACCAGGACACATTGTCGAGTCTTAAAAGCAATACATGTCTCTTATCATAAAATATTGTCTTATCTTCATAGCTGTAGACCTTATCTACCAGGACACATTGCCTAGTCTTAAAAGCAATACATGTCTCTATCATAAAATATTGTCTTATCTTCATAGCTGTAGACCTTATCTACCAGGACACATTGCCTAGTCTTAAAAGCAATACATGTCTCATATCACAAAATATTGTGTTATCATAATAGAAATAGACCTTATCTACCAGGACACATTGTCGAGTCTTAAAAGCAATACATGTCTCTATCATAAAATATTGTCTTATCTTCATAGCTGTAGACCTTATCTACCAGGACACATTGTCGAGTCTTAAAAGCAATACATGTCTCTTATCATAAAATATTGTGTTATCATAATAGCAATGGACCTTATCTACCAGGACACATTGTCGAGTCTTAAAAGCAATACATGTCTCTTATCATAAAATATTGTGTTATCATAATAGCAATAAACCTTATCTACCAGGACACATTGTCGAGTCTTAAAAGCAATACATGTCTCTATCATAATATATTGTCTTATCTTCATAGCAATAGACCTTATCTCCCAGGACACATTGTCTAGTCTTAAAAGCACTACATGTCTCTTATCATAAAATATTGTGTTATCATAATAGCAATGGACCTTATCTACCAGGACACATTGTCGAGTCTTAAAAGCAATACATGTCTCTTATCACAACATATTGTGTTATCATAATAGCAATAGATCTTATCTACCAGGACACATTGTCTAGGCTTAAAAGCAATGCATGTCTCATATCACAAAATATTGTGTTATCATAATAGAAATAGACCTTATCTACCAGGACACATTGCCTAGTCTTAAAAGCAATACATGTCTCATATCACAAAATATTGTGTTATCATAATAGAAATAGACCTTATCTACCAGGACACAGTGTCTAGTCTTAAAAGCAATACATGGCTCTTATCATAAAATATTGTCTTATCTTCATAGCTGTAGACCTTATCTACCAGGACACATTGTCGAGTCTTAAAAGCAATACATGTCTCTTATCACAAAATACTGTTTTATCATAATAGCAATAGACCTTATCTAGCAGGACACATTGTCTAGTCTTAAAAACAATGCATGTCTCATATCACAAAATATTGTGTTATCATAATAGAAATAGACCTTATCTACCAGGACACAGTGTCTAGTCTTAAAAGCAATACATGTCTCTTATCACAAAATATTGTCTTATCTTTGAAGCAATAAACATTATCTACCATGACACATTGTCTAGCGATATGTCTCCTCACATAACATATTGTAGTCTCCAGAGCAATATGTCCTCTAACGTGACACATCTAGTCTTTGAAACATTTTATGTCCCCTGATCCCTGGACAAACTTTTCAAAACATATGCTCTCTAGAACAAATTTGAACCAACAATACTACCGCTTTCTATAACAGAAAGTTTCAGGAACACTTTAATGTAAAGAGAAACTTGCCTGACTAATAAGATCTTCTGGGACCACAGAGGCAGGGACCAAGGGTCGTGTTCCTACTATTACCCCTGACCTCCGACCTCTGCTCACATGGACTGCTCTCTGCATGCGACTGTAGGCCTGTTGGTTGTTATTGCGTGATGCTGCCCCACCAGCTGTAGTTACTGCAGTGCCCCATCGTCTGTACAGGTGTAACATTAGGAAATGATTATAAACATTCAACTAATTCACATTTGGTAATAAACCCTTTCACAACTGTAGACCATAATGGACTCATCCTGATCAATGTATGGTAGAGTCTACTAAAGTTACCTAGGGGTGAAAGGGTAAACCCAATACAGGTTGTATTGGTTTCTATCGTAACAGATCAAATCAACAAACTTTTGAGAGGTGTGTGTGCACTGTGTGCAAGGGGAATAAATAAAGTGGTCCAATGTAGAATTCTGCAGGTGGTGGTTTTTGTATAAAGATACTTTTAGGCGAGTTATGAACATTATTTTCCAAATGCCGACGAGTCCAATTACAGACATAGTGGGTTCTCAAAATGTGAAAAAGCTCGGACCTGTCAACAAGACATAATTGTTTACATTATTCAACAACAAAATCCCCTTAAGGTTTTTCATCATGATATATTCAACAACAGCAACCTAACCTATTCTTTACCTTACAATAAATAATCTACTGACACAACTTTACTTTATGATAATGCAAAAATATCAAGTGACTATCAATATACTCCATATTAGGAATTATGTATTCAAAATTTGATACAATTGAAGTGCTTACAGTCTTCAAGTGAAAGTGTCAAGAAATTCATCAAAATTTATTTTTAATGTCATAAATTCTTTCAAATTACTCGAAACAATGAGGCAAATGATGCTGAAGAGCATTGGATATTGTGGTTTATCAAAGATCAATGATCAAAATAAAACAAAATTTATTTGAGAGTAAATGAGAATATTTAACCGATTCCAAGACTTCCGATTCCTACCCAGCAGTCTGTTCAGCGTTGGACCCGAGGACATCCGAGACCAGCACCATGGGACTGTCCACAACATGTGTTCCTGCTCTAGGTACAGATGTCCTCTCACGTTCGGGACGACTGACCTTTGCGACCCTGAAAACCAAAACATGGTAATGAATTTCGTCAGCAAGGACAACATTTTTACAATTCTTGCTAGTGCCGAATTTATTGAAAGAGAAACCAGATGTTTTGCTTGGGGAATCTAGCTTCTACACCAAGGAAGAGGTTCTTTATCTGGCATTAAAGTTACGGAAAAAGAATACTAAAGAATTAAGTAGGTCGGAATCTAATAATCCTTCAGAAAAAGAAAAGGGTATTCAAGTTATTCCAATTCTAGCTAAAATGCATAAAGCAAGTTTTCCTGTACTTAATTATACCAGAAAGGCCAGTTCCATAAATTTTCATGTGATCTAAGCTCATCTTTACACTTTTCAAAACATTTGATAGTTACAATAACGTGTTTGCTGTTGATAACATTTTTTTGCTATTTCGGGCGAGGGGTATAATTGGATAAAGAGAAATGTGATCATTGCAGTGACACAATCACTGTTAAACATCAGTGCAAACATCCATATCTTGGTACAATATTGAGCTGATGCTTACGGTTTATTTTCAGACTTGTTGAGGTCCAATCTGTCATTGACAACAGCAAATGAAATACGGCAAATTCTTCCATCCTGATTAAAAAAAATTCAATACATCGTGTATCAATCAACTACAGCCGAAAATTTAGCTCTGGTGATAGATGATGTTATGTCCTGTTTTTCAAATTATAATTAATGATGTACGTGTGATTTCCAAGTGTGATAAAATCCTTATTTGTCCTTTTTTATAAACAATTGTGATACAATGTACATGCATCAAGTTACAAGGGTAAAGAATTTGTGAAAACTATAAAATTGATTCTTATATCCCCATATTGATATATGAAACTCAGTTATATAATAAGTTGCATTTTCAAGATAGTGTATTTGAGAGAGAAAAAAATTTAGTTGGAGATTCTTATATCAATGTTGTAATAAGAAAATTTTAGATTGTATTTTCAATTGTATTCTACCACTGAAACAATATGATTATATATATGATTCACTAAGAAATAGAGCCATGGCAATGAATCACAAACAGAGGGGGATAATAATGTATGCCCCCTTCCATCATCTTCAATATCCAGGTGTTACGCTCACTTACGCTCTCTGCATCCCTGGAATATGTAACAGCAAAATTGAAGACTCATTGTACATGTGAGCCACCTTGTGGCGAGACTAGAAGACTAGTTTGATCCTTTGGTGTTCATCAAAAGAAACTCGGTCACTATAATCAGGCGTTTCTCCTCTGTAATCGTCAATAGAAAGGGATAAGCCTAGTGATTGGTCAGGTTTTTATTTTAACCCGAGATCAATCAAATAGCGAGCCGCACGCCTTCAATTTTGCTAAAACATATTCCATGGGTGCAGAGGGTGTAAGTGAGTGTAGACGTATTCCCTTGAGTATCGAGGATGCCCTTCCATCATTCTCCAAAAAATGGCAGGGGCATTAAAAGAAACTCCCCAAAGCTAGCTTTCTTTTTCATAATTAACTAAGTATTATTAGGTAGACCAAAAAACTAGTCATTCAATGTGGAACCTCTATTTCTACTGCAATGTTTACCTCAAGTAGTAGTGCTATGTAGTTTGGTCCTACAACACACTGAACCACTGTGAGATTTCTGATGGCAGAAAATGCCAGTGGACTTGAGAACCCATGGTGGCTTATCTTCTCTGCTACTTCTCGCAATCTACAAAAGAAAAAATAGACTTTAAGACTTATAGTCTGAAAAAATTGTCTTTTTTTTAACAAAGCATAATGAAACAGGACTATTAATGAAATGGTCATATCTAAATCTGTGGTAATTACTTTTACCAGCAGTGACTTCTTATACGTATAAATGTGAATGTATATCGCCAGTCATAACAACAGATGAGTGTATACAATCACTGCTTTGATAAGGATTACCACAATTTCACTGGTTATCAGCTTTTCAAATCTCTAATGGTTGTGTAACAGAACTAGACTGGGTCGATCGACGGCCACCAGGTCACTCAATTGGTTTGAACCCCTGTCTGACCGCACAATGTTCTGCTCCCGTTACATTTGGTACCCAACGAAATATACCCACAGAAGGTTGTATAGGATCTTGTGTGTCTTTGGAGTCAAGGACTGTTAAAGGAGGGAGGAATGTAGAGGAACTAGGCCGAGTTGATTGTCGGTGACCAGGTAGCTCAATTGGTTAAGCGTCCTTCTAGAGTTTAGATGGTGACCCGGGTTTGAACTATGGTCTGGCCGTACATTTTTCTGCTCCTGTTACAGTTGTTTATTCATTCCCAAACGAAACTACAGCCCTATTTAACTGTTTGAGAGTTTGCAATCAATATCAATTACATCTGATGCTCCGGCCCAACCAAACAGATATTTGTAATTTTGTTTACATAGAGCTTAAATACATTCAGCCATTATTGATCTAATATTGAAAGCTAAACACGAATCTCAGGGAATAGGGAAAGACTTATTCAAAATGGACCATAAACAGTCAAAAGATTAATTTGTTAAAGATGAAAAGAAAGGAGTATATGGTAGTGTTTTCTGTTGAACATTTAAAGGAAACACATAAAAGAACAAAGATGTACCCTTAAATTATATGCAAACCTTAGAATATTCAAGGCAAATCTTAACTTAATACATTTTTAATTGTTTGGTTACCTAGATTTCTTCTTAAATACGTGGAAACTCCTCATTTATGTCTATAACTAAACAAATTTTATTATTTCTCTACAAACTCCATTTTGAATTTTTATGTTGGCACTTGACCTCATCCACTTTATTATAATTTTGTGAATAACTGTTTCTAGCGATATTAAATATAGCCAAATCAATTCTGGATTTAGCCACCAGACGACCAACATATCCCAAAATGAGTTTCTGTCGTCTATCGTTTTATTTTCGACGACAGACAAACGTTTTTACCCAGACAGATTACTGACAAAATTATACAAAGAATCGCCATTGAAACGCCTGGGTTTGCATCATACCTGTCATTGAGCTGGTCGTCAGTGCCTGGTAATGGATGCACTACGCAATGTACAGAAGTCATCTTTACAAAACGGCTGAATGTGAAGTCCTAAAATTGTCTGGAAATATGATAATTAAGTGATATAAAATTAATGTTCCCGACGCAACACCAACATGTGCGCCATCTTGCCGTCTTCCGATGGCGAAGACCATTCTGATTGGCCTACTATTGCTGAAACAGATACGATCGAAACGTTCCGAATGGAAGCAACATGTGCTTTGAGTTCAATCCTGATAAATTTTATGATAAAAAATAATAAACTACTGAATTACAATGTCACAGGCTGATCCTAATTCAAATATAATGATATCAGAGCCATATAAGATATATATGTAAAATATCAAAAGGTAATCAAAAACTTGCCAAATATCTTATTTAATATTTTAACTCATGTAATATATACGTTCTTTTAAGTTTCTTATTTTTCTGGGGCTACCACCTTATTTACGTTCTGTATTAATTAATACATCCCTACACTGTTGTGATAGTGTAATCCTCAAATGGACAATGAATCAATTAAAATAATGAAGGAGGTATGTTGTTGCCTACCCTATTGTGTAAGAGGTATATAGTTTGGATCAACACTCATTATATTGGGGAGACCGGACAATTTTGGCCCATTTTAATTAAAGTCGTTCTAGACACCATGACAAACGTTAAAATTTATGAGTATATTTACCATTTGGAAGAGATTCTGATTCTTTATTTCCTAGTGTTTTCAACACATAGTAGAGAAGACGTTACAGCTAGAATATACAGTATTTACAAAACAATACAATGACCAAAGAGAAAACCATGCTACATGCCTTTCATGAAATGATAACAAAAGGAAAAACACGTCCGTCTTTCTGTCGAACGATTGGATGTCCGAACGTGCCCCACATTGGGCAAGTTCGGACAGGCAGCCTGGGGTTAGTTAGGCCCACGTTAGATCAGCATAATTATGACGTCATAAAGCATGCAACGTCAGATTTAATTTCCCTGCCAATTTTATGATTTTCCATATGTTGAATATGGGCCGAATCTGACCCAAATCGATATTTTGATTAATTATTATATTGCTGCAATATGAACATTAATGTTGGGTTTTTTGTATACCAATAAATGTGATTGTCAATCACGTGAAGCTGTCAGTAGCGGAACTGGATTCGCGTCCGTCTAGAGTTCGGAAGGTCCCGGGTTCGAACCCCGGTCTGGCCGTGCATTTTTCCTCTCCTGTTACACACGTATCGCACAAATAAGTTCTAGCAACTCAGTTTACTGAAGGTTGACAAAACTAGAAAGAAGTTAGGTCATGATTTTCTCTCTACCCTCCTTAATGTAGTAACTTTCTCATTTTTAGTAAGACTGCAGCACAAAGTAAGAAGCGCAATACACGTGTAAGACATGCTATTCGAAAATTATATGTGATTTTACCTTTCTAAGGTGCAGGACGAACAAAATCAAGATGTGTATTTTTTAAGAAAACAGGTAACGGCATGACTTTGGCAGTAGTAATGCAAATTAAATCCTTTCAAACTTGTTAGTAATGATTGTACGATCTTGTGTTTACGCAAAATAAGCATTTTGTTAAGTCTTTATCGTGAAACGCTTGTATTATAGCCATGATCTTAAATTCGTCCGTTTAAAAATAGTCTATTCTAAGACACGGGATTCCGATAGAGCTACCTGTATACAAATACCTGAGGACGCGTCATAACAGTGCACGGTTGGACGCGCGCACTAGCGGGTCATAACTTTGGGATAATGGGCATAGCAACCCGCCATAGCTCTTTAAACAGTTTCTTTATTTGCTTTTGTTTTGAGGCAATGCACATACATTTTGTTTTCTTGACATTTATCATCATTTATTTTCAATACAATACAACATGTAGGGGCAAGTCATTTATAAAAATTAAAAACATAACAGGACCAAGAATAGATCCTTGAGGCACACCATGTGTAATTGTACGACCTTCTGACATATGACCTGCAAGAGATACTACTTGAGTCCTGTTGTATAGATAAGATTTAAACCATGACAATGAATTCTGTTCGATTCCATACAGAGCCATTTTTCTAAGTAAAACATCAAGGTCTACCAAATCAAACGCCTTTTTAAAATCTAAAAGTACGACTCCTGTATTAAGACCATCATCTATGTTCTTTGCCCAGGTTTACTCTTGCCATCTTCCAATGTGTTGGAAATTTACCAGACCGGATACTAAGGTTTATAATATAGGTAAATGACTGTGCTATTTCAGCATGAACAATGTAGTAGCTTTATGCTCGTCCAAACCTTTCAAAATCATAATAACAAAATCATGAGACACATTGGGAATGACAAAGTTGATATTATCATTCAGTTTATCACATATATTCCACCATTTCAACTTCTGGAAAGAGGCCGTAACATGTTCAAGTTGAGGCGTCAGTTTACCAGCAATCTCAGTGAAATATTAATTGAACTGGCTTGTCATTCTACTTTTTTTTCAAACACATGTTCATCTCTTATCGCTAACATATTTGGAGATGGCAAGCTTTGATTTGGACGTGACTTGTTTTAGGCGAGAGGAAAAACTTCAAAATGCCACTGAACCAATTGAGTTCATATCCCTATGAACGCAGCTTCTTCTTGTAATGTTTATAAGGGGAACTTGCACTGGAAATGTAAATATTATGAATTGACTGGCTTTCGGTGCATGGCCAGTTGGTGTTCACCTTGAACTGATTTTGCAGTGCCATTTTGTTCTTTGACTTCCCAAGTAATGCAGTAGTGATATTGGATTTCAATGAATAACTTACCATATCTTAAAAATAATTCCATGAAAAAAGAAAATATGGTAAAAGAAAAAATGTTCGATTAATCTCTTTTAATTAAGTTGTCTAATTTCGTTTCAGTGGCGCAATAATTGACTTCTGTTAAATTAAATGAAATTTGGGTAAATGGGCAAATCGCTACTCATTTTGACACTTATAAAGCGCTGAAATTATGCTGGTCCGATGTTCTTTGTGAAACTCTAGAAGGATCATCGTATCATTGTATCCTCGATCTCCAGGGGTTACGCTCAAGTACGCTCTCTGCACCCCTGGAATATGTCGTAGCAAAATTGAAGACACAAAGATAACCGTTTGATTGGTCTCAGGTAAAACATCCTGACCAATCGCTAGGCTGATACCTGTCCCACGACTTCAAAGTCAGTCGATTTTTACCGTTACGCGACCGTGAGATTATTTTGATGTTAATCAAAGTATCTAACTAGTCTCCTTGTCTTATCAACAAGGTGGTGTACACTGAGCCTTCAATTTTGTTATGACATATTCCAGGGATGCAGAGAGAGAGAGAGAGAGAGAGAGAGAGAGAGAGAAAATGAGCGTAACCCCTGGATATCGAGGATGCCTGACTGTGGCGCCACAATAATCCCATCTTCGATATCCACTTTCGCTCTCTGCATTCCTGAAATATGTCATAGCAAAAACGAAGGCCCAGTGTGCGCCACCCTGCGGATGAAACGAGGAGTCTAGTTTTGTCGTTTGATGTACACCAAAACAATATCGCGGTCGGGTAACGGTAGAATTGACTGGTAGTTTGGTGTCGCTTCAGAGTAATCTTCAAATGACAGGTATCAGCCTAGCGGTTGATCAGATTTTTTTTATCAAATAGCTAGCCACATGCCTTCGATTTTGCCTTGAGAAATTCCAGGGTGCAGAGAGCGATAGTAAGCGTAACCCCTTGAGTATCGAGGATGCCACTCCCAACACCATTACCACCATCAAACTGACCAAAAGGATCACAGAATACAGAATTATATGGGATCACCTTATCTCAGCTTGCTTTATTATTATTATTTTTTTACCAGAAAATGTATGCTGATTTAATACAGAAGACATTTCTATTTTACAACAATTAAACAACTTTTTGCAATTTATATTGCGCGCACATGGTCTTATGTGGGAGGAAACTGGAGTACCCACAGAAACCCCCATGGTTGGGCTTCTTATGACGACCCATAAGATTTTGGAATCGAACCCGGTCCGACCTTCCTGGTGAAAGGCAAGTCACCAAACCACTCCATTCACTTTCGTTTTCTGTATCTGCGTATGACTTTTGCCCTTTAATTAATTCGTTAGATGATTTTTTTATCGGGACAAGTTTTGTGTGTGCGGTTGTTTTGGCTTGATCGAGTTGAAATATGTTCTTCATTGTTTCTACCAATACATCACGGGCCGGGGTGTTAGGGGACTGAACTGGGTAAGTGATTTCAAGTGCCACACACAAAAAACAGATAGTTATTTCGCACAGCATCTCCTGTTACAAGATATATCTACAATATTTTGACGTAACTCAGTTCAAAATAACTGACTATAACATATAACGCGTTAACATTTATCTCCTTTTATTAAAATTCTTTTTATGGGACCCCCCGTTAAAAGTTTTTAAAACGTGAAATTCGATTATTTCGGAGTAGGCACAACAATACTTACAAAACTATGTCAATTTAGTTATGCCAACAAATATCGAGTTTTTATTTCAATTACATTTTTAATACTTACAATGTGTATTATAATTCCGGATTTTGTTATCCGTCCACCAAATCATGCACTATTTTATCGAAGGGCGGTAACTCTAAACTAAAAATTAGTTTTTGTCCAGACACACATGTGAGACGATTTGTTTAGATTTACCATGGCAAGCGATTCGTCGATGTCAACCATTTTTACCGACTTTCAGAAATATTTAGACGATGAACAAGAAATCCGAGAGGTAATAACATAAGTCTTAATTAAGTTACAATAAGCCTAAGAGGGCAGTAACATAACAATGGTTATTGAAATGCTTGCTTCAGGCCTCAGCTCAGGGTTTAGTTTATCAGTAATTAAACACTGATAATATAAACACGTGGTCAATTAGTAGACGACTGGAGACACATGCGAGATTGACAAGTTAAGTCCAAACAAAATGATTGTTTAGTTTAGTTTGTGGGTTCTTTTTCTCTAAACCATTTTATCAAGACATTAATTCAGACTTTAACAGAGGATATTTAAATTTATTGAAAACTAAAAAAAGACAACATGTTTTAAGCCTCATCAAAACATTCAAATATTGTTTTATCTGCAATCGTTTTGAAAGATGGTAAAAACTTAAAAAGTGATTGAGGTATCTTGCTTGTATTTGCAGCATAGTTGCAGAAAAAATATTTCCGAAAATTATTCAGAATTTGTATGGTTTTAACAGTTGACTGGTTTCTGTGTACCATACTATTCAGGCATAGTTGTGCGCTGCAAGATTTGGATTTGAAATTTTATCCTGGAAATGAATTCCACAAATGTTCGATTCATTTCAGCGAATCCGAGTCCTGGTGCGTGACTTAGAGCAGACGACACGAGAGATCCATACTCAACTTCAGCTTGTACATCAGCAGGGCGGCATCAAACAAGGTGACTATGACTTACGTTTAAAGACACTAAGTGAGATTAATACGCTGCTGCAATTAGGTCCCCATTCTCGATACTCCAGGGGTTATACTCACTTTCACTCTCTGCACCCCTGGAATTCCGTCTTTTCGTGTTACAGAGGTATCTGCTCTTGTGAGCAGGTATTGATTGCTACCTCATTAGTTTGTGTGAGAAAATTATGTCGTTTTCTCATAAATTTATGATGTTACTCACACAAACAAATGACGTAACAATCAATACTCACAAGAGCAGATAACTCTGCAATACGAAAAGACAGAATATGTCATAGCATGTCTTCCACCTTTTGAATAAAACAAGAACACTAGTTTGATCCTTTGATATACATCAAAAGAATCTGTCAGTCGTGCAACAGTAAAATTAACTAGCTTTTAAGTCGAGTGTCCTCTGTAATCTTCAAAGGGCAGACATTAGCCTTAGTGATTGGTCAGGTTTTTTTTAAGATCAATCAAATACTAGTCGTGTGTCTTCGATTTTGCTATGGGGTGCAGAGAGCGAAAGTGAGTGTAACCCCTGGAGATCGAAGATGTCATGTCCAATAATTATACCATGGAAAAGCTAACTTGCCAGAAAGGCATTATCTTCCCCACTTATTGTTTGACTGGTTTACAACTCTCATAAGAAACACATACATATGTTCATGTTGATTTTTTTTTTATATCAACTTTTCCTCAAAGGATTGCAAAACCATGAAATTTAAGCTCAGTGAAGATCTCACAGTATATGTGATAAATCTCTTCTGTTAGTATTGATTTTTTATATTGTTCATTTATATTTTATTTACTTCTAATAAATGATCATGCTTGTGCTCAAATTGATGAACTTGTGATCAGAATTGCTATACATTTTCATAAATCATAATGCTTCTAAGCTGCTGAGGCTGATGGCCAAAGGTCAAGGTAGAATGGGTAACTTTTTTTTCACAAAAAGGATATGTTTTTTTAAAGAGTTTTAGTTTCGCACTACGACTAGACAAACAACAGGAAATAGGCTCACTAGAAAAACATTTTTTTAAAGGGTTTAATAGGATATTAGTGGACGCAGGCATTGCTGCCTCTTTATCCACAACAATTTAATTGTAATTCAATGTGGTAAACGTATAATAAGCCTATATAAGAGGCCCAGAGGACCTGTATCGCTCACCTGTTTCTTTTTTGATTTGATATACATTGTGGTAAACATAAAAAAGCCTATATATAAGACACTGTTAAGACATACTGTTAAGACATACTTTAACTCAAGATCTTTCCAGAATTTGTCCAAGTTTTTCTCAAAGTCAAATACGTTATGAGATGAAACATCTTGTTGGAGACTATTCCAGATATCAATTATTCTTAGAGTAATTTACAGCATTGTTAAGATAGAAAACATATTAGTAGATGATTTCCTCTAAGTTCTCTTGTTAACGTGCTGGTTATATGTTTCTATAGTACAGGATCACTGCAAGAAGGCCGAAGCTTCGTTTGCTACACTGAGGGAACAGTACAGAAAGCTGGCCGAGGTTGTTCCGTCAGGGCAGTACTATAGGTAATGTCTGTTTGACACCATGCTTTTACTGCTGTTGACTTGCTGTTTATAGCTAGTAACATCTCCTAAAACAAATCTTACACATGAGACTCATATCTTAACACAATACCTTCCTGTATGTCAAGGGTACCCGTACCACTGCCAAAAACTGGAACTAAGTATTGGAAACTCTTTTTCTCAACATGATTATAGCTTTGCAGGCTTTTCAGTAACTTCTATTTGAACAGACTAAATGACATTTTTTAACTGGCCAACTTTTGTAAAATTACATATGAGATATGCAAGAAAAAGGTGAAACCCTGCTTTGATAAACAATTCCTGAAACGAAACCAATACCTTGCAGGACTTTATTGAGAAATAATATAAATGAAATAAACAAAATATTAGCAAAAACAATGTTCCGAGTGTAAAAATTCAGCAGGGGCTAGATTAGGATTCGAACCCTGTACGTCATATTTCTGTACGATTACTCTAAATGATTGACCTACCAGATCAGTGGAAGCCTGCTGGCCCAACTGTGTCCAAATGGAAGTTAAGGGGAGGTAACTGTATATAGGAACAGAGTGCAGTGGGACAGGCATCCTTAAGTCAGATATAGCAATGAGCATTATTAAGTCTCAACTACAGATGGGGGAAAGAATATTTAGACTAGTAATGATGATAGCCATTTTCAATTCTATTTAAATAAAAGCATTTAAGGTAAAGGGTACCACTGCATCAGTTATGATCATAAAGAAGAGTTCCACTCCAGAGCTGTTTTAACGACTTAGAGTATTCTCCCTTAAATTAAGATTATGAAACAAGAGTTAATTCCCTTGTCAAATTATTCATATCTCATTTTGATTCTGTGCATATATACTTCCTGATTAGGCCAAATAAAAATGTACCTGTGTTTCCCGTTTCCCGACCGATCCTATTTTTTCATGCCGACCCTAATACATTTAATTGGTTTCTCACAGTCACTGTTATGCATTTACTAGCTGTTTAATTGTTTTATGTGTGCATATAATTCACTATGAGTTTTAGTAGCCTTGGCTCGTGGTCAGTGTCAGAGTTTTATTTGAAGATAGTGGCTAAGTAGCCGTAGATAATTGTGGTTATGGTTTGGATCTGTAGATTAGTGTGACCATCTGTAGTCTACGAGGCGGAGTCCAGTCTCTGATACCAGGGCCCATATCCATGAAACTATTTATTTTCATGCTGAAGCATGGATTTAGTGCTCAGGCCCAACTAATCATAACTCACTTTAAATCATGTTACATAGCCAACATCAAAAGTAAACATTGAAAACAGTATTCAGCTTCAAGGTTCTTCAAACTTAAACATCACAGAGAAAATATGTAATGTGTGAATGATTTATCAGCAGAACAAGAAAATGGACTTGAGCCCAAAATCTGAGTTTGAGCATGGGAGTGGTTTCATGAATACGGGGCCACGATTGAACACGGGACCTCCACACTCTAAACAATGGCTCCAGCCAACTCAGCTCCCTGGTTACCAGCGATCACCCTGTCTAGTTCCATCATACAATGCAAACATTGAGTGTTTAAAAAAACAAGTATTTACTTTCCAGGTTCCATGACCATTGGAAGTTTTCTATGCAACGATGCTGTTTCTTATCGGCATTCATTACCTACCTTCAAACAGAAAAGCTTGTGACAAGGGAGGAAACTGCGGCAAAACTAGGAGGTAAGCAATTAGGGTTTCAAATATGTAAAGAATTGAGAATTGTTTTGTTTTTGAAACAATGAGTAAACAATACTGGATTTTTAACTTATCCTTATCAAGTTTTCATATACCGGGGTATATATATAAAAAAATAATTTTATGGTACATGTTAAGCTAAAACTGTAGTGTAAAATTACTTCTATCGCATACACAAGTCCAACATTCTTGCAAATTTTTTAACTACCTATCAAAGTTTTATTAGGCCGACGTCATAGTAGGTCTGCAAGGTCGCAGACGCATTTATAATGTTAGCCTAACATAGGTCTGACATACAAAGTTGACTGTTTAACAGAAACAAAGTTGCGATGCTTTGCCAGCATGTGTACAACAGTTGAAACACAATGGGTGATGTCATTGTTGCTTTGACGGACCTGCATTTCAGTATCAATCATTTGAAAAGTAGAGTTTACAAAATTGGTACAATGTCGGGCTGACCACAAGAAGTTTAAGCAAAGTATTAATTCACAAAATGTGTTGAACAAAGTTAAATAAGTATTGGGACAAGCACAGTTCTATATTTTACAATTTTGCAGTGCAATACCAGTAGTTCTGTGTTTTATTGAAATCTGTCGGTTTTATGGCGTTGGTGCCATTGTTGGACAAACACATTGTTTTCTTTAACCCTTTCACCACTGTAGACCATAATAGACTCATCCCTATCAATACATGGGAAGGTCTACTAAAGTTACTTAGGGGTGAAAGGGTTAATGACATTGCCTACTGTCTGCTGTTCACTATAAACTCCCAATTTTTTCCCCCTTAAAACATTCCATTGAAGTAGCCTAACAACCACTTTTAATTTCCGTTGTCAGGCCACCGTTTGATCAAAGGTTGGACCAACGTTTTAACAGTGTCTGATCGTTTGCCGAGTTGGCTTTACAGAGTTTTAAAATTTGAACGTCTGACTGTCAATGGATTGTAAAATCCGAATTTTGTTGGAATAAATCTATGTATGTATGGGTTTAAAACATTTCCAGAATATTTTGTATGGAAGGGAGATAACTCTTGTGTTCATAAAAATGTAAACATTTCTTTATCATGCCTTTTATTGTGTACAGTTGAGCTCTCCAGGGACAACGGATTTCACATGGACCTGGATGACTTCTTGATAGGCGTTCTTCAGGTGGCTAGTGAACTGGTTAGTTTTATTAGGATGTTATTCAAAGACCATTTTAACATTTACATGCTTCTAGAACTGGCATTCTCAAATAGCCCGAATATCCTCTTGCCCTGGTTTGAATTCTCCAACACCGTTTGGTATCAGAAATCTACTATGACACAACACATAACTCACATATATTGATAAATAGTTTATTTATTGATTCAAATCCAATCTTATTATCATCAACATCTGCTGAATTCTGCCAGTTGAGTCCACGGTTATCAATCATTTAAAATTTCCCACTTGACAGCCTCTTTTTGTTGATTAGTCACTTCCCGATACCAAACGGTGTCGGAGAATTTCACGTTTTCATATGGTAGTGCGCTCTGGCCCTACACCAGACATCTATCTGTCAAAATGTCCAAGTCTGGTGTCAGGGCCAGAGGAAACAGAGGGTTATTCTTGAAAAAATCTAGAGAGGGAGGTTAATAACATTTTGTTTAAGAATTGCATGATTATCATTGTTGAAAAATAACATAGAATTAAATACGATTGTCCTAAGTTGACAGGTAGGTGCCATGTCCCAGAATGAGCTAGAAAGTTTATTACTGGTATGGCTATGGAGAATTTTGGAATCATTGTCATTTTCTCAAATTGCTAAGCACATAAGAAACTCATTGAGTAAAATAAGTATGTATTAAATTTTGAAAATATTTTGTTTTTCTGTTTCCAGTCACGATTAGCTGTTAATGCAGTGACAGCTAGTGATTATTCTCGACCTTTGCGGATTGCAAAATTTGTAGCTGAATTAGATGCTGGTTATAGACTGTTAAATCTAAAGAATGATGCTTTACGAAAACGCTTCGACGGACTGAAATATGACCTGAAGAAGGTAGAGGAGGTTGTATACGATCTCACCATAAGAGGTCTCAAGCCTACAGAGGACCCACCGAAGGAATGAAGGGGCATAACTCTTGTTTGCTTGGACTTTAATACAATTGTTAGAACTTCGGTAATTGTCCTGTATGATGTTACAGTGAGAGAAACTGTAAATTGGCTTCTGTGTACAACGCAATTCAGATATTAAAACCAACTTTTGAGTCTATGATTTTATGGAGAGTGGACCAACAATATGTGAATATTTTTGGGGGTGAAGTATGAGACAAATAGCACAGAAACTTGGTCACAGCATCTGAGTATTGTTTTTCCACGTCTAGTAATTTCATTTGAACTTAAAGGGATCAGAATCCCCTTCAAAGTTGATTATACAAACAGTGCATATGGCCGCTGGAGTTTGTGTCACCGTTTCTGTCACTTCAAGCTGTAGATCAGAGCAAGAGATTCTGCTGTTTACCGTCAGATGTGGTATTAAGTAATCATAACTTGCTGTTTTTTGCATTTATTTTGGTGCATTTTGATATTGTAAAATCCTGCTAACTTGAACACATGGCCCAATTTGTTCAAAGGTTGGTTGACTTGAACCAGTTGTTCCTTAACAAAAATTCTAACTGTTGCCACAAAAAACAAGGGGTTTTCAAAGAAAACCTAATCCTCAAAGTACATCAATATAAACTTTCTCAACAAATCCACTGACGAAATAGCGGATATTCTTAATTTTGTTGTATTCATTTTTTGAAACTTTCCCTAACCACTGGGTAACTCTAGACCAAGCTTTGTGCATTTACCATGGCCTGGGTTCAAGGTCAGTTGTTTCGGGAAAACATGGTACATGTATTAGATGAATTCAACAGTGGTCCGATATCACCACATATAGATCTGTATAACCGGGAGGAACAGTGTTATGCAGCCTTATGCTGTTAGGGATGAATTACGCAAGAAATTGAAAGAAAAGAGAAGATTCACATTCACTACATTTAATATGATATAAAACTGTTTAACAGTTAATACATGGTTGTCACTTACATACATCTCAGAAACTCACCAATATAACAAGTGCTTTATGAGGCTCAAGGATGGGAAATTGTAATGTGATGGTTCAGTTTTGTATCGTTAAATTTTGTATTGAAGTATTGCAATAAAACCTCAATTGATCATTTATTACACGAAATCTGTTGTTATTTCGTATGTTTTATTATTTTTGACAAGTTTAGTATTTTAACACAATCTGTATAACCTTAACCCTTTCACCACTGTAGACCATAATGGACTCCTCCAGATCAATGAATGGTAGAGTCTACTAAAGTTACATAGGGGTGAAAGGGTTAAAGATCCTTGTACCACTGTCAAAAACTGTAACAACACAATTGATTTTTTTTTCCGGTTTTTATAAATCATATCTGAAAAGAAAACCATAACTTGGGGGACTTTAATGAAAAAATAATCAAGATGATATAAAATATAATCAGGTGTTCTGGGCACAGAAATTCAGCAAGGCTAGACGAGTGGAGAACTAGTTGAGCACTAGACTTACCATTTTTAGCTCACCTGGCCCGAAGGGCCAAGTGAGCTTATGGCATGGTGCGGCGTCCGTCGTCCGTCCGTCCGTCCGTCCGTCCGTCGTCAACATTTTACTTTAAACAACTTCTTCTCAGTAACCATAAGGCCTAGGGTGATGATATTTGGCCAGAAGCATGCTGGGATGAAGGGCTACCAAGTTTGTTCAAATAAATGACCTTGACTTATATTCAAGGTCACAGGGGTCAAATATGTTTAAAACCTTTCAACAACTTCTTCTGAATAACCGATAGGCCTAGGGTGATGATATTTAACCAGAAGCATGCTGGGATGAAGGGCTACTAAGTTTGTTCAAATAAATGACCTTGATTTACATTCAAGGTCACATGGGTCAAATATGTTTAGAACATTTAAACAAATTCTTCTGAATAACCAATAGGCCTAGGGTGCTTAAATTTGGCCAGTAACATGCTGGGATGAAGGGCTACCAAGTTTGTGTAAATAGATGACCTTGATTTATATTCAAGGTCACAGGGTTCAAATATGTTAAAAACCTTTAAACAACTTCTTCTGAATAACCAAGAGGCCCAGGGTGCCTAAATTTGGCCAGTAACATGCTGGGATATAGGGCTACCAAGTTTGTTCAAATAAATGACCTTGGTTTACATTCAAGGTCACAGGGGTCAAATATGTTTAAAACATTTAAAGAACTTCTTCTGAATAACCAATAGGCCTAGGGTGATGATATTTGGCCAGTAACATGCTGGAATGAAGGGCTACCAATTTTGTCCAAATACATGACCTTGACTTATATTCTAGGTCACAGGGGTCAAATATGTTTAAAACCTTTCAACAACTTCTTCTGAATAACCGATAGGCCTAGGGTGATGATATTTAACCAGAAGCATGCTGGGATGAAGGGCTACTAAGTTTGTTCAAATAAATGACCTTGATTTACATTCAAGGTCACATGGGTCAAATATGTTTAGAACATTTAAACAAATTCTTCTGAATAACCAATAGGCCTAGGGTGCTTAAATTTGGCCAGTAACATGCTGGGATATAGGGCTACCAAGTTTGTTCAAATAAATGCCCTTGACTTATATTCAAGGTCACAGGGGTCAAATATGTTTAAAACATTTAAACAACTTCTTCTGAATAACCAATAGGCCTAAGGTGGTGATATTTGGCCAGGAGCATGCTCGGATGAAGGGCTACCAAGTTTGTTCAAATACATGACCTTGACCTATATTCTAGGTCACAGGGGTCAAATATGTTTAAAACCTTTCAATAACTTCTTCTGAATAACCGATAGGCCAAGGGTGATGATATTTGGCCAGAAGCATGCTGGGATGAAGGGATACCAAGTTTGTTCAAATAAATGACCTTGGTTTACATTCAAGGTCACAGGGGTCAAATATGTTCAAAACATTTAAACAACTTCTTCTGAATAACCAATAGGCCTTGGGTGCATAAATTTGGCCAGTAACATGCTGGGATATAGGGCTACCAAATTTGTTCAAATAAATGACCTTGGTTTACATTCAAGGTCACAGGGGTCAAATATGTTTAAAACATTTAAACAACTTCTTCTGAATAACCAATAGGCCTAAGGTGGTGATATTTGGCCAGGAGCATGCTCGGATGAAGGGCTACCAAGTTTGTTCAAATGAATGACCTTGACCAACTTTCAAGGTAACAGGTGTCAAATGTCTTAAAATCTTCAAACAACTTCTTCTCAATAACCAAAAGGCCCAGGGTACTGATATTTGGCCTGTAGCAATCAGGGCTACCAAATGTGTTCAAATGAATGACCTTGACCCACTTTCAACCTAATGTCATTGTTTGACATTCAAGGTCACACTGATATTCTGCCTGTAGCTGTATTTTAGTCCACTTTTAAGTTTACAAGTGTGAGATTAATACCAGGTGAGCGATGCAGGCCCATTGGGCCTCTTGTTATTGGTTTAAGCTAATGAACCATTTGGTCAATGGAAGTGTCTGGGGCCAACTGTGCTACGGTTATATGAAATTAAAGGGAGGTAACTGTCTATAAAAAAAACCCAGATCAGTGGAACAGGGATCCTTAAGTAAAGAGTAACCATCAAGATTGGATAAATTAATATCATTATCACTTATGAAATTTTCAGTCATTTTTGAAATATTTCATAACAGTGATTCATGATAAATGCATTTGACCCAAGTTCTCTTTCAAAGAATTCCAGTTCTTCCAAAATTTAATTATTTGAAATTAACAAGAGGTCCACCTGGATATGTTAGCAAAATTGAGGTTGAAATAGCCAGATGTTGCTGGTAGTGTACATGTATTACATGGTTAGTCAGGGGTTATATTTATATACAATTGGACAAAATCCTGTCATTCTCCTGTCATTCCTACGGGAAAAGGAGGATTTTGAAGAATTTGCTATGTTAACAGTACTGGGCCCTACACCTCTGCCCCCAGGGTGGTCAGACCCACGGTTGATACAAATACAGGTTGTTTTCCCCCAATGATGCTTTAGACCAACTATGGACATAATCCTGTCATTCCTACAGAAGAAAAATGATTTTAAAGCTATTTATCTATTTTCCCTATTCTGCCCCGCCCCTCTGCCCTCAGGGGGTTCAAACCCACCAATTATACAAAATTGATTCCCCTTCCAAATAGAATGTGACTGTTCAAATTTGGTCAAAATAACTTCATTCCAATGGAAGAAGGATTATTAAAGCTATTCCTCTATATCCCTTATTGGGCCCCACCTCACTGCCCCTGTTATTCCTACGGAAGAAGAAGCATTTTCAAGAAATTTGCTTAATCATCCCTATTGGGCCCCACCTCACGGGCCGCAGGGAGTCAGACCCTCTATTTATACAAAACTGATTTCCCTTCCCCATAGGATGCTACTATTCAAATTTGGTCAAAATACCTTCATCCTACAGGAAGACAAAAAAGGATACTAAAGCATTTCCTCTATATCCCTTATTGGGCCCCACCTCTCTGCCCCAAGGGGGGTTAGACACACCGTATATACAAAATTGGTACCCTTCACCCCAGGATGCTTCATACCAAATTTGGACAAAATCCTGTCATTCCTACAGAAGAAGAAGGATTTTGAAGAATTTGCTATGTTTTCCCTATTGGGTCCTGCCCTTCTGCCACTAGGGGGGCCACACTCACTAACTGAGGATGAAAACCCTTAATCTCTATGGTAGAAGAAGGATTTTAAAGGTTAACCTCTATTTTCTCTATTGGGCCCCGCACCTCTGCCCCGAGGAGGGCCACCATTTACACAAAATTGAGTCCCCTTGGCCCAAGGATGCTCCAGACTAAATTAGAATAAAATGCCTTAATCCCTACGGTAGAAGAAGGATTTTAAAGGGTTTACCTCTATTTCCACCATTGGACCCTGCTCTTCTGCCCCAAGGGATACCACACCCACCGTTTATACAAAATTGAGTCCCCTTGGCCCAAGGATGCTTCAGACCAAATTAAGTCAAAATCTACTGGGCCGTTCAGGAATAGTAGTGTTTTAAAGGAAACGTTGACGGACGGACGACAGACGACGGACGCTGCGGTATGGCATAAGCTCAACATGGTCCTTCGGACCAGGTGAGCTAATACAATCCCTTAATTGCTACGATAGAAGAAGGATTTTAAAGTTTTAACCTCATTGTCCCATATTGGACCCGCCCCTTTGCCACACCAACTGTTTATACAACATTGAGTCCCCTTGGCTTAAGGATGCTCCAGACCAAATTGGGATGAAATCCCTTGATCCCTATGGTAGAGGAGGGATTTTAAAAGTTTACTTCTATTTCCCCTATTCGGCCCCTACCTTCTGCCCCCAGGGGGCCACACCCAACGTTTATACACAATAAAGCCCCCTTGGTCCAAGGATGCTCCAGACCAAATTAAGATGAAATCCCTCAATTGCTACGGTAGAAGAAGAGTTTTAATGATTTTTACCTCAATTTCCCATATTGGGCCCGCACCTTTGCCCCCAGGGGGTCCATACCAATCATTTATACAACACAGAGTCCCTTTGGCCCAAGGATGCTCCAGAGTATATTGGGATGAAATATCTTAATCCCTATGGAAGAAGAAGGATTTTAAAGCTTTACCTCTATTTCCCATTTTCGGCCCACCCCTCTGCCCCCATGGGGCCATAACCACCGTTTATATAAAATAGAGTCCCATTGGCCAAAGGATGCTCCAGACCAAATTATGATAAAATCCCTTAATTGCTACGGTAGAATAGGGATTTTAAATGTTTTACCTCAATTTCCTCTATTGGGCCCCGCTCCTCTGCCCCCAGGGGGTCCACACCAACCGTTTATACAACATTGAGTTCCCTTAGCCTAAAGATGCTCCAGACCAAATTTAGTCAAAATCTACTCGGCCGTTCAGAACAAGTAGCGTTTCAAAGGAAAAGTTGAAGGACGGACGACGGACGCTGCGCCATGGCATAAGCTCACTTGCCAAATTTACATGGCAAAAGTTTGGCATGTTTCTTGTGATGAAAAAGTTTTCTTGACCCATTTTCTAGACAACAGAGTTAAAGTCTGTTAAGGAATGTACTTTTCTAAAGATTTGTAAGGTCTAAAGCAACGCTGGAATGAAGGACCATACCATCTGATAAAATTCAAGCCACTCACTAGGTCAAAGGGTTTAAATGCATTAAAATATTAAAAATACTCTAAAGAATCATAAGCATCGAGTGACCCTATAGTTGATACGATGATAGCAATCAAGTTTGTGCAAATAAATGACCTTGACACTTTCTAGACCACAAGTTTCAAATGCATTAACATCTTAAAAATAACTTCTCTGATAATCCGTAAGCTATGAGGTAACACTATTTGTCCCATAGCTGTTGGAATGAAGGGTTATCATGTCGGTTCGATTAAATGATCTTGTTTCACTTTTAAGGTCACATGTGTCACATGTGTTATAAACTTATAATGACTTCTTCTAAAGATTTGGCATGTAGATTTCTAGGATTACATGCTTTTTACAAGTTTGTTTGAAGGACAATACAATGTGAATCTTATAACAAAGATCCCTAAGGTAATATTATTTGTGGTGAACGCTTGCTTGCTATCAAGATTTTGTAAAGCAACTCTGGCATTGACTGACTTTGAAGTTCATAAATGTGTGATTTTTCCAACACCGATCAATAGCATGTGAGCGAAACAGGCCCGTTAAAACTCGTGTTTCAGTAATGCTTTCACCTGGCTTTGCAATTCAGACAATATAGATGTTCATCAGATTCTCATTGGGAGGGGCCAGAACGACGAAGAACAACATCAGACGTATTTATAGATGAATTCTGTTTTATTATGGACACAAATTTCATGTTTTTAATCACAACAAAGTACAAGAGAAAACTTAAACATAATCTTGAAAGACGAAGTTAAACATCTGGGCATCAGCTTACCCTAAACCACTGTGTTACATCTACAGCATTATACCACACTGTTCGTCTGCCATTTATCATTTAACTAGCATATTCCCTGTAAAACACTCTGTAACTGCTCTCTAACGACATTCTTGCTGCTCTCTGTCGGTTACTACCTGTGCCTTGTAACTGCCCTCTGCTCACTGTAACTGTCGTCTGTCCTGTAACTGCCCTGTGCCTTTTAACTACATTCTTACTGCTCAATGTTTTGCCCTGTAACTGTTCTAACTGTAACTGCCTCTCACCTTTTTCTAAGTTTCCTTTGCCTTGTAACTGTTGTCTGTCCTGTAACTGTTCTCTGTCCTGTAACTGCACTCTGTCCTGTAACTGTCCTCTGCCTTGTAACTGTCCTCTGTCCTGTAACTGTCCTCTGCCTTGTAACTGTCCTCTGTCCTGTAACTGTCCTCTGTTCTGTAACTGTCCTCTGTCCTGTAACTGTCCTCTGCCTTGTAACTGTCCTCTGCCTTGTAACTGTCCTCTGTCCTGTAACTGTCGTCTGTTCTGTAACTGTCCTCTGTCCTGTAACTGGCCTCTGTTCTGTAACTGTCCTCTGTCCTGTAACTGGCCTCTGTTCTGTAACTGTCCTCTGTCCTGTGACTGTCCTCTGTCCTGTTACTGCTCTCTGTCCTGTAACTGTCCTCTGTTCTGTCACTGTCCTCTGTCCTGTAACTGACCTCTGTCCTGCAACTGTCCTCTGTCCTGTAACTGACCTCTGTCCTGCAACTGTCCTCTGTCCTGTAACTTCCCTCTGCCTTGTAACTGTCCTCTTCCTTGTAACTGTCCTCTGTCCTGTGACTGTCCTCTGTCCTGTTACTATCCTCTGTCCTGTTACTGCACTCTGTCCTGTAACTGACCTCTGTCCTGCAACTGTCCTCTGTCCTGTAACTGACCTCTGTCCTGCAACTGTCCTCTGTCCTGTAACTGACCTCTGTCCTGCAACTGTCCTCTGTCCTGTAACTGACCTCTGTCCTGCAACTGTCCTCTGTCCTGTAACTTCCCTCTGCCTTGTAACTGTCCTCTTCCTTGTAACTGTCCTCTGCCTTGGAACTGTCCTCTGTCCTGTAACTGTCGTCTGTCCTGTAACTGCCCTGTGCCTTTTAACTACCTTCTTCCTGCTCAATGTTTTGCCCTGTAACTGTTCTAACTGGAACTGCCTCTCACCTTTTTCTAAGTTTCCTTTGCCTTGTAACTGTTGTCTGTCCTGTAACTGTTCTCTGTCCTGTAACTGTCCTCTGGCTTGTAACTGTCCTCTGTCCTGTTGCTGCACTCTGTCCTGTAACTGCGCTCTGTCCTGTAACTGCACTCCGTCCTGTAACTGTCCTCTGCCCTGTAACTGTCCTCTGTCCTGTTTATGTCCTTTGTCCTGTCCTGTAACTGTCCTCTGCCTTGCAACTCTCCTCTGTCCTGTAACTGTCCTCTGGCTTGTAACTGTCCTCTGTCCTGTGACTGTCCTCTGTCCTGTTACTGTCCTCTGTCCTGCAACTGTCCTCTGTCCTGTAACTGTCGTCTGTTCTGTAACTGTCCTCTGTCCTGTTACTATCCTCTGTCCTGTTACTGCACTCTGTCCTGTAACTGACCTCTGTCCTGCAACTGTCCTCTGTCCTGTAACTTCCCTCTGCCTTGTAACTGTCCTCTTCCTTGTAACTGTCCTCTGTCCTGTAACTGTCCTCTGTCCTGTTACTGTCCTCTGTTCGTTACTGTCCTGTGTCCTGTAACTACATTCTTACTGCTCTCAGTCTGTTACTGTCTGTGCCTTGTATCTATCCTGACTGTTACTGCCCTCTGCCCTTTCTATCTACACTCTTCCCTCTCTTGCTGCCCTCCGCCCTGTGCCTGTCCTCTGCTCTCTCTATCTCAACTCTTCCCTCTCTTACTGTCCTCTGTGCTCTTTAGCTGCCCACCGCCCTGTGCCTGTTCTCTGCTCTCTATCTACCCCCGTCTTTAACTGCCCTCCCTCCTGTGACTGCCCTCTGCTCTCTCTCTAACTACACTCTTCCTTCTCCAAGTGCACTCTGCCCTGTAACTGACATTTTCCCTCCTTAAGTGCACTCTACCCTATAAATGCCCTATTGTATTCGTCCGTTAAAACTGGAATATCGTATCGGCATGCAATACAGACACGTCAAGTTTAAATTAAGAGATAAGCACTCTTAAAGCATAAACGAAAATATTGATATATACAAATGCAAAGAATATTTGTCATTTCATAATGATGTTCAACATATAACATAGATAGAAACCATAGGATAATGATAGGTTCAAACTATAGCAGTACTGAAATAGACGCATTTGCTTTTTGTAATTTGATTTTTTGTAAAAAGAAAAATTTAAACAAATAACGAAATCATGACATTAACAATATTATACCGCAACACATATTCCGTCTTTGCGTATTGCAGAGTTATCTGCTCTTGGGAGCAGGGATTGATTGTTACGTCATTGGTTTGTGCGTCAAAATTACGTCGTTTTCTCAAAAATTGATGACGTTACTCTCACAAACAAATGACGTAACAGTCAATACCTGCTCCCAAGATAAGATAACTCTGCAATACGCAAAGACGCAATACATATATATATATCAGTTTATCCTTCCCAACAGTATCTCGGTATTCACATGTATCAGTCGCCATGTCTTGGTAGCAAACACGTTCAATTTCCTGGCATTCGCTGAACCTTCGTTTAATTAACATTAGTAATGCAGGTAAAATCCACTATAAATCATTCGGGACTAAACAGAAATATCCCAATTTACAGCGATGGTATGGTAAAGATGCCTGCGATTTTGAATAAAAAAAACTCTTGTTAAGAGTTACATGTTGCTTGTGCACGAGTTTCTCTTACAATAAACCCAACAGAGTGACATTCGTTGATTAAATCTTGTGCCATAATTTTTTAACTAACTCTTCATATTTTGACTCAATTGGAAAGGATATGCATGTCAGAGAACCGTAGTCCATCTGCTATATATACGTACGTATCTTACGCCTTAATAGTTAACATGTCTATCACATATTTATATTTTTATAATAAAATATATAATTATGATTGTCTGAACAAACATTATTTACAATAATTTTGTATTTTGTAACATTTTCTGTAACCAACCTTTGTACAATAATTTTATATTATAGATATAATGTACACAAACTTAAGAATAATAAGGACCCTTAAGAAACAAGAGGTATATGAGACCTGTAGTTGAACTTATTAAAACTAATTTTGCATGGCTTCTGTTTTTATCCAAATATCACAAACGTAAGAATTTATTAAGAAAGCACATATAATAAATACTAAACAGTCTCAATCGCAAGAATTAATTCGAAGTACATTAAATATTATTGCCGTTTTATTTTGAGACAAAATATTGTTGTATTGTTGCAGGGTCATGATCACATTTTCAAGAACATCGTTTTACACGTCAGGGTTTGAAATTAAGTCTTGCGAACAACTTCTTTAGAGTTTCCTTTGGGATTTGTGTCTTCTGAATAGTAATTCCGTCTTTGCGTATTGCAGAGTTATCCTCTCTTGGGGGGCGGTTTTGATTGTTACGTCATTGGTTTGTGTGAGAAAATTACGTCGTTTTCTCAAAAATTGATGACGTTACTCTCACAAACAAGTGACGTAACAATCAATACCTGCTCCCAAGAGAAGATAACTCTGCAATACGCAAAGACGGAATACATGTATAAATAGTAAATGGGGGTCATGTTGATCATTTGACACCAACTAAGTACTCGTGCTAAACGAAATGGATGTTTACCTTTTGCACGTCAAATATTCTAAACCCGTTATTTCCTGCAAGGGTACTATTTCCTTTTTAGTCACAATACAAGCAATATTTTGTAACATTTAACATTATTAAGTATATATGTCTATGCATATTTACAGGTAAAAATGTATTAAGTATGATGAAATATATCAGTATACAATCAATTTAATTGATATTTAATTGATTTTATTACTCACCCAGCAAAAATGACTGAAATGTTATTTCGACTCGATCCTGACTGAAATTACCTTTACAGGCTTGGTAAACCTTTTGTTACTAAGCTGACATCAATTTGATCTCTTTTTTGACCTGCACAATCCTTAACCAATAAACAACTGATACATTCTTCAATAAGATTCATCTGTTTGGAAATATGTAATATCAAAAGTAAAACTTTGATATTACAACTGATACCGTAAATTTCCTTAGTTTTCTAAATATATGAGATACATTTATCAAATTTGCTTGAGAAAAATGACGTGGTGCCATGTTAATGGATACCTGGCAGAAGTACATATTTCGTTGACCTTTAGATCTATACCTTGTTTGACAACCCTTCCTTAGCGTTAGGAAAGATACTTAATTAAACTTTTCATTGAAAAGCATTATTACCTTTAAAGGATAGCTTTAGTTAAGCGTTACGTAATAAAAGCTTTCTTTTGATTTTATTAACCTTATGGATGTCCTAAAGGTAAGGAATGTAAACTGGTGCCAGGAAAGATAACAGGTAGCATATTATAATGAAGTAAACTAATCAATACATATAGCACGAAATAAATGAAACAAAAATGCATATAGTTCATAAGTAAAATTTACATTTTACAAAATATGTTCATCAATATCATCACGTATTGTAGAAATCATAACGACGGACAAAATAAAAAAAAACCACTTTTTTGTTTTAGTTAATTTAGTGTTCCGATCTTATTCAATTCAGTTTTAGCGACCAACATAAATATATACATATCTTATTTTTATTCTACTTGGATCTTCCAACAAATCTTCATAGGACAAAAAAAAAAGTTTCAATAACAACTATTCTGTTTTTATCTTACAATATAATTCCAAATACATTCCCTTTAACTCGAATTCTTCATGAAATAACCGAAAAACTTCAAGACATGGAAACGTATCTACATGTTTCGTATTTGATCCAATAAGCGGCCAGGACTCTTAAAAATTTGGAAGATTGAAGAACTTACAATATTCTCAAACTGAAATTGATAAATGTCGATGAATAGGTGAGACTCCGGGCCAGAAAAGTTATGGGGCGCTATTATTAGAAGGGCTTGGACGCATGTTAAATCTTATATGATATTTCATGTGATACTGATTTTTAATCGGTCTCTAAATACCCATACACGCCTTCTTAGTGAATTAATAAGACTTACTGTTTCCTAAATTACCTTCATAATACTAAGTTGTAAATAATGTTTGATAAACTTATGATTTAATAAATATGATTCAAGATAAAAATATGCATATATATAATACATAACAATAACAGAATCTAAAATACGACTGCAGTAATCGAACATCTTTTACCTTCAATTTACACACCTCGGTTGTTTTAATCACCCAATTCTCAGTAACAGAAAAGCTCTGTACTAACATGCAAGTTTAACTTATAACATCTTTTAAAAGTAAAACAGAAAACAATCATATTGTCAACACAAAGACACAATCTGAATCAAAAAAGAAAATTTGGACGAATTTGTAATTTCGGAAGGCAATTGCATATTGCAGTGTATTATTTTTAGTCACCTTTTCCAAATCATGGATATGCGTAAAAAAATCCATATAATAAACGATTTAGGTAATGCTTCAATACCCAAGTAATGACAAATTGAGGGTTCGTACATGCTCCAGACTGTTTAAATATTACACTTTAAGAGTTTCATACATGTCAAGATACTGCGAGAAGAACCACAGTTCACTCTATGTACACACGAGTCTATTGTTAGACTCAGAATTGTTTTTTTTTTAATCTTGAAAATAATTACAGTACAAGAATGTTTCGCTCATTTGTATTATACACAAAATAATAAAACCCGAGCAAACATTCGTTTTGGTGTCCTTCACAGCACACTCTTGAAGAAGACTTGTGTTCTGTAAGGAAATTGACACTGGAATAATAATTATGTTGTGTCTGCGGTGAAGCCGATTGCAAAGCAGCTGAATGTGCAAGTGCATTGGGAAATTACTAAAAAATCAATTCGTGCAATGAAGATATGTTTTTCGAATTCCTTCATGTCATGTATCACTTTCCATCACAAGAGTTTCACCACAGATATTGCTGTGATTTCTATGATGTGCACTAGTCCACCAGCGACAAACTATATAAACATAGGGTTAGCTCCGTGTGAGCCATTTTGTTGATGCTTTAATCGTTTGCAAATTCACATATTGTTCAATGTTGTTACTGTTACGCATTTTGTTCGAAACGTCCAAAAATACCGGCGACTTGTGGTGGTTGAAAGCCTGAGTAAACAAACCTGACGGACAGTGTATGTTTAAACAGGAGACATATCAAGGCGAGCGATTTAACACGTTTTTACTTCAAAAACCCCACAGGAAAAATATCTTATAAAGTATATTTTTCTAACTAGAAATATTTTGTGGGTACATATCATGGAGATGATCACAGATCTTTTGGCTCGTCCTTCACATTGCAGAGATAATCCGTCACATGGTGGCTTTCACTGCCCGAGTCACTCTGATCTAAATTCGTGCGGAGGGATTCAAAGTCACCACCATCTGCTTCCTTGCACCACGTTTTGTACTGAAAATAAAAACAAAAAATATCAATTATATTTTGTGGTTGACGAGGAAAAAAAGGTAAGGAATTTAATATTTCGGGAAACCTTAATGCAATGATTTAAACGATAACCATTGTTCTTTCCAGCTTTCATTTTTTATCTTCCAGTAGTATAGAGTTTGGAAAAAAACGTCCAGATGGGGACAAGACGCTCACCATTTTGTTTTTAATTTTTGTCTGCTTTTTGTTGTAAAGTGTGGCAGGACGTCCACCACCGATCGGCCCCTCAATAGGCGCCCTATCTCTTAAAGCTGAAAAGGGCGTCTTGCCCCACCATACTTTCTTTCCCGACATTTAGCAATAATGCTTTACCACTACACAAAATTGATCAATGGGGATAGGGTCTGATATAAACTGATCGTCATCGAGGCTGTGCTCTTTGTACATGTACAGTTGTCATTCTAAAGCTTTTATGAAAATTTCAAGATGAGCATATTTATCAG